AGACTAGACCAGTTTTCCCAAAGTAGAAAATTATATTTAATGATTTTGAATTTCATCATTTTTCAGCATTGATTTTGCTACAGATAAGACCTTCATGTAGGAGTAGTGATTCTCCATGCAATGTCCAGTATACAAACTTTTGTGAGTGAGTCTCCTTTTAGACCAATAAAATACCCATAGTCTTCCAGCTGGCTTTAGTTTTGACTTTGTTCCGTGTTTTTTATTTTTAAAAATTTCTCATAGCTGTGAGTGGCACCAACGAGTCTGGCAGTTAAGACATTGTCTGTGAGCTACTGACTAATCTACTTTTTTCAATGGCATGATAAGAATGGGACTGCTAAGACTAGACCATTTTTGCTAATTCTGCCAATGTTCTGTTCTAGGTCTCTGCTTCCTTCTTTGTATTGTAAAGACAATATGTATTTTCATCTTTTACACTGAGTACAACTATTTGACCACAAAACAGTTGAAAAAGTGTTAAGCTGTTACTCAAATCACTGAAGCATTATTTGCACTGAGTCAGTTTATGGCCTCTAAGTTGTAATCACATGTCCTGTCTTCTGCAGCTGGACCAGTGTAAAAGTTGAATGCCCCAGCTGTTCACTGCTAGTGGCATAATTGCTCTCTAGCCCTTTCCTCTCAGAATAATGAGTGTTAACTTCCACATGTTTAGAAGGAGGATTTTTCTAACCTGGATTGTTTAAAGAGAACCTGGCTAGGGAGCAATACACGTGTAGGTACACTAGCAAATGGATAGGGTAAAGTAGTCTCCCCAACCCTGTGATCTCTGGTGGATCATACAACAGCTGGCAAAGGAACCTCTTCTCTCAGCTTAGCTGGAATTAAACTAGGGTTGGAGACTCACAGATAAGCTGTTCTTTACAGAAAATGTAACATCATTCAAATCAATAGAGCGATTAGTCACATACATCTCTTTGAGTATCATGTACAGTATCTGACACAAAATACCCACTGTTTTGACAAAAATAATTTTTTGTCAAAAAAAGTAAAACACATACGAAGTTAGATGTTCCCAAAAGGTTAGGCTCACTAAGCACATACAGGTCAATACCAAATACAGTAAATTAGTTCCTTGAGGTAGAAAAAACAAGCCTAAAATCTGAAGCACTCTGAATTCCTAAGGAGCAAATACAATCCAGAATGTTCCTCTATGCCATCAAGACTTTTTGAGGATCAGTTCTAAAGATGAGAGAACTCCTCTGCTAAAACATTAATCCTGTGCCAGTCTGATGAGATTGGTGACCAAATTGTCACTAACACTTCATTGACAGGTATCTATTCACTAGAAACTCGATTTATTGCATGGAGGCCAGAGAATCTTGCCAGGTCATAATGCCTTTCAGCCATTACTGGCAATATTGTGACTGCGCCCAAATGTGAAAGGCAGTGTTATCAAATTACCTCTGTGGCTTCAGGGTTCCTTGCTTCCTTCCTGTGCTCTATTAATGCGTCCACTGAATGAAGGCATAAATACTGCATTTTTCTCTGCCCATTGCTTTTTAATTTGCTAATTGGAAACATTATTAGTCAAAATGAAGATATTACAAATAATCCCACACACTTTGCAGCATTAATAAACAACTGTTTTTCTCCTGTTTCTCCAGTGGAGAAAACCATTAACTTTTTCTTGACAGCTACAAGGAAAAAGTTGTGAGGTTTGCAGGGAATTACTTCATTTGGTTGGTTGTTGGGGTTTTTTTGGTTGGTTGGTTGGATGGTTGTGGAAATCATCTGACAAGAGTAATTAATTTTGTGTGGATACATCTACCCTACCTCTCAAAACGCCATTTAGAGAAAACTCTAAAATATTTTAACACTTTCATCATGTTGAGGGCACAATCAGCACATATGGATGTCTTAGACCATCCCAAAGCATAAAACTCAAGTTTTGTGGCAGCTTTACAAATCTCTTGCATGGTGGTTAATTAATGAGCACTGGAACTCAAACCTGGATAAAGTATTCTGGAATCTGTTACAAACATTACCTTTTTCTATTCTGCTACTTCTCTTAGTGCTTGCTACTAAGCCACCTGTTTTTCCTCCCTGAGGAAAAAACAGGAGAACAGTGTTGTATATGATTCTGTAAAATTACAAGTGTAAAATATTATTTTTACTAGATTATGCTTCTCTAACTACACTACCATAGTAAACCTTTTCCTACAGATATATATTTCTGCATTTGATGTACAATCAGTATGTAAGAATGTATGGTAAATTTACTTGAATTGACTGCAATTAGGTGATAACTTAGGTGGGTTTGGATAGACAAGTTAGAAAGAACTATAATTCCTGACTGAGAGCTAGATGTTCCTCAGTTCACTGCATGATAGCCTATCAACAGTCCTACAGTTCATGATACTCTAGATTATTTGTTTTGGTACTCGATATTTTTGATACATTTTATTAAAAATAAAAAAAAAGAAAAGAAAAAAGCTGAGTCTGAAAGCCTCAAACAAGTCTTTGAAAAGTTTCTGTCTATAATGATAAGCTTCATGGAACAACGCCTTTTACCCAAAGGAGACATTACCTGTATGCACTTTTACTGTGCTAGTGTTACTACACATTTCCTTTCAAATTTCCCTGCATAGGCCTTTTCTCCTTTATAACTGATACTTTCAATAGAGTTATTTTTAAAGAAATTTTTTATTATAATTGATTTAATTCATTTTTCCAACGTTTCTCTGCATGTATGTTTTACTAAGAATTTTCCCTTTCTGCCATATACTGAATTTTCTAGCTTTAATGGAAACAAAATGCACTTTTTGCCTAGAGATCCTGTGGAGATATTCAAAAGCCATCTGGACATTGTCCTGGACAAACAGTTCTAAGTTGCTCTGCTTGGAAAGAAGGTTTGAACATGATGACCTCCCTTCTAACCTTGAGCAGTGTGTGATTCTTTGAAATTAGACAGCTAAATTAACAGGGATGCTCGACTACACACCTATCATAGGTCTTCATTCACTCATTAAAAAAATCCACAGTCGAGTGCTAATGAAGTCAATATGTGGCAAGTCTGTAACAGCTGCCCTTAACTTTCACTGATAATTGTTCTCATTTAAATGGCATAATATTCAATATACTGTTGTTGAATATAGTAATGGCAAAATTCATGCCTTGGGGGCTACAGTGTGACTGAGTTTTAGCTGGATAAACTGAACTGTGACCTAATGGGGTATTACAGGCCTTTACACCTTTCAGATTCATAGGTCACAGTCTCAGACTGTATAAACATCTATGTAATTATATTAAAAGCCATTCATGCATATATTGAGATCATTCCAAAAGATAGTTAAAACAAAATCAATATAAGCATGATTCAATGGCCTTTAAAACAAGAAAACTACTGATTTCAGTCAGTCTTCTTGTCTATAAGAAACAAAGAATTACATTTATGCTTGGAATATACTACCCTTAATTATTAATCACATTTAGTAATGAGCAGATTTCTAATATCATATCTTAAAAATTATGTATTTTTTACATTAATTCCTTTACAAATCAAATTTCTTCATCCCTCCAGATAAGTAGCATTCAGAATACAGGAAAGTAAAATATGATGCAATATGCACATTATCCAATACATACCTCTGCAGATATCGCTCATGTATCCATCTTAATTATATATAATATGTAAAATGTCTAAATACATAACTATAACTTTATATAATATGAACATCATAGATATCTGCTGTATTAATATGATGGATATATACTTATATGATAATTTTAGACTGGTAATGGAAAAAATGGATTGTGTTCTATTTGAATAGGTGTAACACTTAGCAATTACAAAATAGATGCCTTAGGGAACCCTGAAACAATTAAAGACCTCCATTACATATAAATCCTAATAAGAATACAAAGATTTTATTATTAAAGTGTAAACTTTTTGGTTCTCTTTCTCTAGGGCTGTTTTAAAATTCAGTACATTTTTCTGTGAAAATCCAAAATATAGAGAATTTAAGAAAATATTTACAAGCCCAGGTGAGATTTTCCATAGAATCCACATACAGCTAATTTACTTCTTCCACACAAAGTACAGAAACCGGAAGATGAATTAAGAAATAGAAATAGAATTTCTCAGAGCAGGTATAAATCCCATATTTTAATTAGGTTACAAGCATGCTATCATTGCCTACAAAATAAAGCAATAAATCAGCAACTAAAATTTTCAAAGTTTTTTAGGTACGTCCACTTCAATAACTGGATGCATTTTAGATGATGAAGATCTTCTACAAAGTCGGCAGCAATTAAGAGAATTCAGAAGTATCTAGTATCAGGTTGATAATCATAAATAGTCCTACAAAATGTAAAAATGTACTTTGGAATTTAATAGATCATGAAATTTTTCAGATAAGCAGCTATACATTTTTTTATGTCCATACCCACAAAACAAGCCTGTCCATTTTTCATTAAACATATTTTTCTCTTGATTTTTTATTTCAACTAATACGTGTAAACCACTTTATTTAAAGCTAGATTTAAAAAATGGCCTTATAAAAAGGATCTCCCTGTTTATACATAAGGATACTTTCCAATATAGTCATGATCACAAACCCATTTCATCTATACATTTTTAGGTATCTTTCTAAAGAAGGAAAGAAAAGATGACAGAGCTGCTGACTTGCATCTTAGTTTCCCAAGTCAAACAGTAGCCCTTGAAAACTTGCCAGCTGCCTTTGATGGCCAGATCATGCTTGCAGGTAGCTAACCTCAGTATTTGCAGTATTTAAGGCATTTCCTACAATAAACATAAGCAAGTACAAATAAATACTATGGTATGAAGGCACCTGTATTTTTCTAGCTTAGGAAAAATTGAATATTTTATTTTGCCAGCACCATCATGAGGCTTCAACATGCCAGACTAAATTCACTTCATATCCTTCTACATCTTTGGGCTCACTATCACTACATCCATACATCAACAACGAAAAAGTCAATTTACTGGGTTTGAAGACATGCTTTGCTTTATTTCCTACCTGAAGAATGTAGCCTCGAACGTAGTCTCGCAGTGTCCAGCCTAAGCCATGTAGAATATGCAACACCTCCTCTTGCTTCAGTACGCTGAAGAGTCGGTCAAGCAGTATCTTCAGTCTCACAGGCACAGCCTGAGTACCGTAGAGCATCAGACTGCTGATGTCAAACACAACATTGGACTGCACAATCTCCACTTGGGTTGGGTGGTAGAGGTGCTGAGTACTAAGTTTGTCCAAGGCTGAAAGAAAAGAGGTCAAGTATAAGGAAAGGGCAAAGAAATGACAAAGAAATGACAGCTCCAAATACTCATGTACATACATGACATTTGGCAGATACACTTATTTTCTAGAGAAATATCACCTGGATGATTCATAGAAACATAGAGTCACAGAACAGTAGTACTGGTCCCAGGACAGATGCCAGTCATCACTAAGGGATCCTTTTTCATAGATGCAGTCCAAAACAGCTAGTTTCCAAAGGTCACAAGTAATTTTAATTGCTATGGCAAAAGGGTTCTCAGATGAGACTCGGCAACTACAATACTCATAGTTAAAGAGAAATGTATGATTAACTAATGATCAAGACTGAAGCAATGCCAAATTCAGTGGGATTGTTAAAGATTTGATACTTAACTTTAGAGGAAAAAAATAAAACAGATACTCCCTTAACTCCAGTCTCTTAAACATGTTAAAATTAAGGCCCCTGATTCACCAAAAATTTGATCATTAATTCACTGCTACTAGAGCTGGCTAGTTCTTTTCAGCTGGCTTTACAAATTCAATGTTATTCACTGTGATTTGAATAATTTAGGGATAAGGGAAATTTGCAGGATGAAGGTAATTCTTATCCCCTTGTGAAGTTAAAAAAGATGGAATTGCATATGACATCATGCATTCTATGATGTATCAATGTTTAATTTTATTTCTATTTTATGTTGCAGCACCTAAATTTCTCTCCTTTTCTAAACAAAATTTCTGAGCATTTATAATAATCTTATAAGGACTTCTCCTGTACTTGGTTTCTTCTTGTCTTATGGTCACTAGAGAGTTCATGTACTGTTGATAAATTGCTTTCTTACATTCAGAGCGCAAAGGCCCTTATCATTCACTTGCTGGCTTCATTCAACACGTTTACTCCAAGGACTACATTGTCAAAGAGTTCCGGTTTCCTCATACTTCATTTCTTGCAACTGAATTGTCTGATCTTTCCTATTCTAGTGGCTAAGTCAACTTTGAATAAATAGCTTTAAATATTAATTTAACATTCAAACAAGATAAGAAATTGGCAAGCCTAGGGACTTCAGTCCTACATCTCTCCACAGGACATTTATACTGCAGAACATGAAGAGCAGGATTTTTTTCTTCCAAAAGCTCTTCTTCCAAAGTACTACATCTATGCAGGCTTCATGGTGCGGGACTAATTTTTTTACAAGGTCTAATGAATGAGATTTGATTGAAGTTTAAACAGGTTAAATATTGTCCTCCTTTCCCCACCCACCCCCTCCCCCCCCCTCATTTTATGTATTATCTTTTTCTAAGATGGTTATTTTGCTACTACCATAATAGATGTGTCATGAAAGTTCTTGGCTAAAAAAGTCAAGAAAATTGATATTTTTATTCTGCAGGTTGAGCAGTATGTGTGGTGATATGTGTATATGTGTACCTGAGGGACTGGTCAACCATTTAGAAGGAGTAAAATAGGGTGTTATTTTTTCTAATACTAGCATTACTCACAGTAGGAATGTAAATATGTAAATAATACTAGGAATGTAATAATGTAAATAATATTAGTTTCAAATAGATACTCTGTAAGAACACCTTCTAACAGACTATTGAAATTACTGAGCAGATCTGAATCACCCTGAGCTTTTCAACTTCAGTCTTACAGAATAAGAATTGGGTCCAAAGATACTAACTTCCTTCTCCAAGTTTATGCAAATTTAGACCAGAACCAAGACATGAACGGATATTTTCTAAATACTTATGCTTTTTAGTGACTGAATCATACTGTATTTCTGATATATCCTAATATTTGGTTTTGTTTCTCTCTTTTTAACAGCAAATACCACACATGCAGTGAGGAAAAACTAGTTCTTCCATTTAAAGACTTATCATGCTGAGGGTGTTAAGATCATTATTCTACTGTGGTCTAGGTGAGAATGACTATAAGCCATCTTTATCTAAGGATTATTGTGTGGACGACAGATCTAATAGCTTTTAATTTCTCTAACAATAAGATTACAAAACTCTGTGGATGTATATCCACTTCATGTAAGATGACCATTCAGAGGATAATAGCTTTGGAAAGGTTGAGGTGGAATGGAAGAGAGGAAAAACAAATAAAATCTTTTTTAAATAACTAAGCACGCTCTTTTGCCAGCTGATAGAAAGTTTTGCAATCTAACCTCTACCATTCCATTCAACCGCAATACTCACTTTTTAGCAGCATTATCTAAAGATATCTGCTTCCCAACACACACACACACACACACACACACACACACACAAATACCAATTAGCATGATATTGGAACAACATTCCAAGCGACAATGATATTATCTCCAATTTTGATTTGTGGCCTTATTATGTGTATTACATAATAAACAAGCAGTGAATTTTATCCTTTTCATGTACAAGTCAGAACATGCAGTGAAGTATGGAATTTATAACACAACAAAATATACATTATTGCATGGGTACATAAGAACATTTGCAAGCTAAAGAGAAACTTCCTGCTGCATGAAAATTAGAAGGTTGTAAATGAAACAAAAGGAAACACAATTGTGTTCATATGGGAAATAACAGTACTGTAAAATTCTGAAATTCTTTCTGAAAATTAGCTATTGATACCCCTTCAAATTGTCAGAAGAATGAAAATTCTCAATCTAATTTGTAATTTATAAAAAATTTTTGTGTTTCTTTCAAAGATTGGTAAGGATGTAGCTGACAGAGAGAATTTTTGTAGTATTTCTCATTTCTCTTCTGATACCCTTAGTGAATTAATGCCAGTGTTCTACATGGATCCAAGAGGCCATTGACATTGATGGACACTTTTTCAGGTAAGAGGTAAGGAATGACCTTTCTTGTTGGTTTTCTGTAAAGAAAGGAGTATTAGCTTTAGCCTTCTTGACAAGTTTCTGATTCTTGTCAAATCTCTGCATAAATAGTTGTATTCTGCTGTCCTGAATTGCCCACATAATTTCATGCCGATAATGCATTCCTCACCACTTTCTGCTCTAAACTATTGGTTTAATTTATACAGGCTAGTGAACAATGAACTGTTTTACAGGTAAATACATTCAACAGTATCGTAGGAGTTTATGATTTCATAAGCACTAAGGTTTCAAGATTAAAAATGCTATACAAAAGAATGTGCTCCATCATAACTGAAAATGACATAAACAGATGTGCCTTTATTAAGAAGTTATCAGTGACTGAATATCACCAAGCACACATTAGAAATCCCTTCCTAGTGCAGCATGAGGTATAACTGACACTTCGTGCAGTTCCAGTGGGATCAAAAGTTCACCTATGCATGTCTGATACTTTTTAGTTGTAACCTGCACAATCTTTTCCAAAACCATGATTATGATGGGATCAGTTTTCTACTCAAACTAAGAAAGGTACCTTTTTTTAACAATGCAATTTAATTGTTAGTACTACCCTGTTAGTTAGCCTGATATTCTTTAATTCAGTATATGTGAGAAAGTGTTTTCTGATACAGGAAGAAAAGGTCTAACTAATCTTATAATTACATACTTGCTGAGCAGTCAACACTTTCATGGGGTGGCCTAAAAATACTCCTGTGTTTTACTCCAACACCACTCAGTCAAGTAACATTTTTGTGATGAATTCCCAATTTCAAGTACTTGTTTTAGAAATTTAAACTGTTAAAAAGCGGGAGGGGGGCAGCAAGGATTGTGTAGAGGACATTAAAGAAGATTGCCTTCAACAATGAAAAATTACTAACTGGATAATTAGTACAGAAATTAGAAAGCTTTCAACATTGTTTTTCCAACTCTGAAGTATAAAGTATGCACCATAATAATTGAGAACATTTTAACTGGAAGGGACCAAAAATTACCATCTAATCTAACTACCTGAGCACTCCAGGGCTGATCATCAGTTAAACCATACTGAGGGGATTGTCCAAATGCCTCTGGAACAGGGAGTGGCTTGGAGTCTTGACCACCTCTTTAGGAAGTCTGTGCTTTGACCGCCCCTCCCATTAAAGAAGTGTTTCTTAATGTCAAGCCTAAGCCTCCTCCTGTTGGCTTATTCACTCTTTAGCTTCTTGAATAGAAAACAAAATCCCTCAGATTTTAGAGAGACACCACTCTGTATAATCTGAAATTTCAAAAGAACTTTGAAATTCACATGTCAATCCTGTTCAATGTCAATCTTCATCTTACAGCCTGCAGTGTTCTTATTATGTAATAGTTCAGAAATTAATTAAAATTAATTTAAGTACAAATGATACATTTAAAATAAAGCACAACTTCTTCAATTTATCAAACGACAGAAAACAAAGAAGAGATTTTTAATTTCATCAATACTGTGTCCAGTTCCCAGGCTCAGCTCTGCAAATTTACTCATTGCCCTTAGACCCCTTCCTTCCCAATATGCAGTGAAAAAGGTCAACCAAATTAAAAGCCATGCCGTTAAGCAGATTCCAGTTTTTGCTAAATAAAAGAAATACAAATATGCAGTGATGAATTTTGTACTTTAGAGGTCTGATATTACTTTTTTGAACAGCTACAATAAAAGCATGACATTTTGCCTTTACTAAATAGAAAATAATTTTAAATATCCTAGTTTTAATGCAATTGGAGTTGTAAATACACTAACCTCTTGCTAATTTACTGATTCTAGATATGTTTTTTATTAACCTGAGAGGGATGAAAAGGTCTAGTGAAAGGTCTTGGCTGATTTGCCTGGCTGCGTATCTCAGAACACCAGAGAGAAGAGTCTATAGGTTGCAATAGGGCATTATGGATCTCATTACATTTCATTTTTAGTTTTGAGCTCTCCAACACATCCGCTCTTGATTTTCTGGCATACTCTCTAGCCAGTTTCCCAACTTGCAAAAGGGGAATACTGTTGGAGTATACAAACACATACAAACGAGGATACAAAATTTTACAACCATCACCTTCTTTCTAGATTACTAGATTTGTTAGAGAACAGGAAGGTGAAAAAAAAATGTAATATTTTCTGGACAATAAAAAAGATCTTGTCA